CCAGAGCATGCATATGTGGAACCAATAGGCTAGATGGGTTACTCTACAAGGTAAACAACTAAAGATTGCCTGTGCTATACATTTCAGAAAATTCTTCCACACCCTGTCCTACAACAGAGGTATCTCCGCTACTAACAAGAAAAGGAGCATTAATAAAGACATGGCAACTCCTTTCTATAACAGCTTTCTCTAATCCTGGAAATAATACATCTACATAAGCACTGGTAAAAATATCACTGTCACTCAAGTCCTGAATATACTTATGTTTCCATAGGTTATCAACACAGTGGAGCTACACAGTACCATCAGAAAATGGTGAGATTTCCCAAAAATGTCCTATGTAGTCATGGCACAAGACTCCAGCTTGGAACCTTGCACCTGAGCCAGCAATGCAGGGAAGATAAGAGTGCCATCAGTGGAGCAAACGGGAGACTACAGCAATGGTTCTCGACCTATGTGCCATACAGGGCCATGCTTCCAGCTCTCAGGGCATGTCTACACGTGCCTATTTAAGGCGCATTAGCCATTTTTAAGATGCATTAAGGGCACAGGTCTACATCTGCACACCCTTAACGCGCCTTAAAAAATGGTGATTTTAGGTTATTCATGCCTAAATTCGATACCTGCAAAAACAGACATCAAATTTAAAGCACACATAGCTAAAGTGCCTTAACGCACACATAGACACACTAAGGCGCATTCATGTCAACTGACTTGGGACTAACTTTAGTCCTAAACTGGTCCACATGCTGCGTTAAATGTGCCTTAGCACGTGCATGTGTAGACACATGCCTAAACAGCCTTAACGTACATTAGGCAAATGCGCATTAAGTTGAGGTACACATAAAAGTGTATGTAAACACCCTCAAATGTGTTGTGGGCTGCAACCATGCAACTTACTTCCTGTGCATCCATTTAAAAATGTTTTGTCTCCATTATGAGTAATGCAATACAAATCAATATCCTGTGATACCTCATTGCTACACCTGTCAAACGTCTTTGTTTTTTTGTTTGTTTTTTTTTTTTTTAAACAGGATGTTATATGGGCCACAGCAGTGTGCCTATTGGGCTGCATGCAGCCCATAGGCCAGGGGTGGGCAAAATGTGGCCCGCAGGAATTTTCTAAATTTTTTATCTGCCCCTGGCTACCTGTCATGCAGCCCTCAATGGCTTCCCAGAACTCAGTAAGTGGCCCTCCACCCAAAATAATTGCCTGTCCCTGCCACAGGCTGAGAACCACTGATCTACTGTATACCGTGTTCTCTAGCGGTCTCAAAAGCAAAAGCTGATGACTCCTAGGAGACTACCACCTCCTCCTTTAGCTAGGATGCCCAAACTATAGTTTGTTTCAGTAGGGACACATGCAACTAAGGAACCAATGACCAGAGCATGACCATTGCAGCAACATACTTAGGGTTCCACAATCTTCCACCTCATATTTTTTTCAGCTGTAGCATTTCAAGAGAAGCTGCCCAATTTGATACCTTAGCTTTTAGAGCGGGTGATGGAATTTGGCTTTCAGCTTAATACAGAAAGTTGAAAGCCCTTGGGGTTTGCTGTGCATCTTATTCAGTTGAGAACATATTAAGCAAGCTGAATGAAAGACTTGCCATGTAAACAACTTGTTCATTTAGAAAACTTTTCAAACACATGTACCATTACTTCCCTCTAGTTCAGATACATTGTTAGGCCTTCAGAAATAAGATGAATACAGTGCTGATGCACATCTGGCCTAACCAATTAGGCAGAAGCCAATAAGAAGAACAAGGATTACAAGATCCTGTTCACATGTCTCAAGTGAACATGTCTCATCAGAATCCAGATGAATAAGGAAAGTAAAAAGGTAATACAAACATTGTGTTCATTTTCTCCAAGTTCCTTAAAGGACATTAAAGAGTCAGAAGGCATAACCTGGGACCATCACTGCACTGAATAACTTACTGTAAAAGTATTGCATATGTTTAAGAGCATCACACAAACACTCATTCTGCTGAATGTGCTTATTGCATGAATTTGTAAGGAAACATTAAGAGGTCAGGTAATTATTACTGCTGATAATATCTGAAGGGTTTGACATGCAGAAATTAGTGCACTAGGGCAATTCTGACTTAGGCCTTATGCAAATCCACTGAAATCATGGGATTGCACAATTTAACTTAGCAGAGATTTTAGTCTGATGTGCTAATTTAAGTCCCAAACATACAATGTTAGCAAACAGCAATAGTTAACTGGCTTCTCACTTGAAAATGTAAATGAAGAGGGAACTGAACAGCATCCTCTCAAGCCAAATTACATCTTCCATTCAGGCATTCTCTATACCAGTTATTATATGTGCAAAGTTCAGGAATGTCACTCTCTGGAAGATGCAAGAATAATGCAAAAGTTTCCATGCCTGTTTTGTCACTTTGCCTGTTTCAAAGTACTTTTAAACTTTTGTAAGTGCCTGAAATGTACACACCTATATCCTCCCATTCCCCTCTCCTCTGCATGGTCTCCTGTCTCTGCCTACTTAGTACCTGAGGTTTGCTGATACCATTAGGTGATATAAGCACTATCTTTCAGGCTTTGAGGAGATGCCTGCATGAGCTCCCACAAAGCAGCCCATGAGAACAATAGCATGCTAAAACAGGAAACTGGAAGTGCAGCCACACAGTGAAACTGACCAGGCCAAAAAGGATGCCTAGTTTACAGAGCAGGAGCAAATTGGGAGAAAAAAAAGGTTCAGTTCCTGCGCCACCCACAGTTCCATTAGAGCCATCTGAGGTATTACTGACTTTATCAAGAGATGCCAAATTTGCAAATGAAAACTGTTTTTCAAGTTGACTTTTTCAGGCACCATCTGTTTCTCATTGGTCTTAAGATATCTTTCTCTCTGAACTTTGCCAGTATAACTGGCAGTATTTTTGTCCTATGTAGTCTTGATATGCTCTTCCAATTCAGGAATTCTGGCTATAAGTATAAGCCATATAACACCATATTTGTATGTATGCCACTTGATCACCAGGCACAGTAAATCATACTAAACCTTGCACAACATACTGCAAGGCACCAATCCCAATTAGGCTGCTCTTAGGCGTCTACCTCTGTCTAGAGATAAAGCAAGTAGAGGGGGAAAGATTAACTTTCGGGGCCTGTTAATTATTCACGGAAAGGTGCTATTAAGTCTCCCATCTACTAAAACCTCCACAATAAGTATTTACATTTAGCAGTTTATGCCCCCCACCCCCTCCCACACACATCCACCAAAACCAAACTCCTGGTTAGGCTAACCTGCCCTGTGCTCATTACTTATTCTCTACTCACTGGGTTCACAGCAGGGGTGGGCAAAATACAGCTTGTGGGCCGGATCCAGCCTGCCAGGTGACTGGATCTGGCCCACAGCTGCCCCCCACAGCACTTCACATGGAGCCATACCCTGCCCTCTTGCACCAGGGCAGCCTGTGCTGGGTTCCCACTGGCACTTGCCAGCTTAGGCCCTGGCCAGCATGTAGTGTCTGCCAGGCGCTGCTCTGCGCCCCCCGCTTTTGATCTTGCCCCTGTAGCACTGTACTGCATCAGGCAAGCAGTTTCAGCCAGGCAGCTCCCACCCAAATGCACATGGCTCCAGCTTCAGCTCCCAGCTGCCTTCTGGTGGAAGGCAGTTGGACTCTGGAACCAGAGCCCTGCACACCTGTCAGAAGCAGCACAGCGCAGTGGGGCAGGAGCAAGAGCAGGAGCTGCTGCTGGAGGCGGGGTACACAGAGCAGCACCCGACTGGCTGTAGCACCCACACCAAGAACAACCCACCAGAAGCTGCTCCTGTTCCTGCCCCTGCTGCAGTGTCATGTCACACCACACTGTTCTGGGTGGGTAAGCAGCTTCAGCAAGGTGTCTCCCTGCCCTAGCATCAGGGCTTCAGCTTCCAGCGAGTTGAAGCCGGAGCCTCATGTGCTGGGGGAGGAGCAGATTCCACCAGGCTGTGCCCAGGGCAGCTGCAACAAGCCAAGTGCTGCTCTACGCCCCGCACCTCCAGCAGCAGCTTCTCCTCTTGTTCCTGTGGTGCGGCAGGAGTGAGAGGACAGCTGCTGCTGGAGGTGGGGGGTGCAGAGCAACACCAGACTGGGCTGCAGGCACTGGCAGGAGTGTGGCACATGGTGCCCCAATGCAAGCAGGTGGGGCTCAGCCCCAGGCAGAGCACTGCGGGGGCAGAGTAGACCACACCACCCAGGGCAGTTCCGCTGCACACCCCCCCCCACATCCCACCTCCTCCAAAGCAGCCTCCCAGGACCTACTGCCCAGGAAGGCCCCCCCTCCACACACACAGCCCCTCCCTACCCCAAAGGAATCAGGCATGTGATCCCAGCCTCTCTCACTCCACTCCTGAACATTTCTCCACTCCCCCCCCAGAAGTTTTGGCAAGTTGTTGGG